TTTTCTTGCAGAAGTTTGTATGTTGCTATCTTTGCAAACCTTCAAGTGCATCCACAGAGCAGCTCCTAAAATATTCTGAATTAACAATAGGCCTTTGATTAATCCGATATCCTTGTACATACAAGGCTTTGCACAAGCATGGCAAGTATTTTGTTCCACTGAAAACTCAAATATGCCAGCAGAGGTATGCAAAGCGTTCGCTGCAGCGGCTTCATTAAGAACATTTGCGACTTCAAGGTACAAGGTGATGTTTTGATCGCGTGGCCGCTTACCCCACAGTTTATTATTCACCTTTATGTAACAAGGAAGTCATGTTTTCACAAGCAAGTTTAACCATTAAAACTTGTTATAAGCATCAAGGCCAAAGTACACCCAGAGCATTCAAGGATATTATTTATTGGCCAGCATTTACACAATCTCAGATTTAAGAGGAATGGAAGAAGGCGAGGGGAGAAATTCCAAAAGGGAAAATGACAAACAAAACAGTCAAAATGATTATAATACATCCAGTTATGGGTTACTTCTTAACCTTATGCTGCAAATTAACTGCATGTAAATTTATCGTCTAAATAAATAGATGTTATTTAAAATAGTTGTGGAGAAAAAAAACCTCTTCAAGTTGAAATTGTGCTCGTTTATCTTGTTTTTAGTGCACGGTAGTCCCGTTAATGGAAGCAGGGTTATGGAGAAGGTACCTCATAATCTTTCCACTGCGCCGTGTCAAAGCTCAAACTGTTTTGAGAAAAATGTTGTGCAATACTGTCACATTTTATCAGCACAGACTCACACTGGAGGCTCGCTGCCGGCTGTGTTGCTTTTGAAGACCCAGAAACATTCATGAAATTACAGACGGGTTTCCCTGCATGGATGTGGGAATGTCACTAGCTTTGAAAGTATTAAAATAGATCCTTCTGCAACAATAATAATAATAAAAAAAACATTAGAACATTTGAGTTATTGGTCTGTACTTTTGTTTTAATGCCAATATCTGGTGAAGGTATTGGCTGAGGAAAAACTTGAAATCTGTCTAATTTCTCAGGTTAAACATGTAAACTAGAATTGTTTATGTGTTTGCAGCAAGCATAACCATTTAAATGCAATGCCTACAAATGATGTCCATATCAAATACATAAAAAAAAAAGTTAAATACACAAACAAACGTGGATTATTCACTCATCTTCTTATTGAACTCTCATTTAGCTTCTTGCTGCTTGACTGTAAACTTTTGGAGATAAATAAACCTTCTTAATTATATAAAAGCTGGACACTTTGTTATTAGTAATCTGTGTTTGTATTTATGCAGGATATCTTTCACATTATGTTCTATTGAGTGCGTCCAGTAAGTGAGCTGTCTGCAATCTTTTGAGCTTGTAAACCTTTAAAAACTACTTGATTACAGGTTATGGACATGGACTGTGATCTGTTGTGCACACGACGGAATTTTTATTTTAAAAGACGTGCTGAAGACATGAAAGTTGGGAATATTTCACGAGAAAAACAAAAAGTAAAGTCAAGGGGAGATATGAACAGAAAAGAGATATTTTTCTTTCTCTTATGTGCTCGTACACATCTGGAGACGGCTCAGACTTGTACCGTATTAACACACTTCCCAAATGTAGAACACATTGTAGTTCATATTTGTAGTCGACACCTGTCCACACAGTCCGTTGTTGTCTTATCAGCTAAGCCCAAAGAATTTTTCTGGCCGTGTTTTTGCCCTATCTCCCTCATCCTTCTGACCCCAGATTAATACTGTGTGTTAATATACAACCGAGGAGGCAGGAACATCACAGCCACGTCCCCTTATGTCTGAGCAGGCAGGACGGCTTGCACAGACTCGAATGCACCCGCCGTACTGCAGCGACGTTTGTTGGTACTCAAACTTGGTTTTTATCACAGGTGAATCCGGCGTTGTTTCATCCTGAGCAGGCACTAAAGAGATCCTACAAACAGCTCCCACCTGGTACCATCAAAACCTGCGAAGGAGCTTCTCTCCATCAGAGAACAGAACACCAATTTAAAAAAAGAAAACACTTGTAAACTCCAGAAAAGAAGAAAAGAGCGAGCGAAATGACCACAACCATGAGGAAGCAGCTGTGGGGGCTTGCTCGTCTGGTTCTACCCGCTGTGGGATTCGTGATGACGTGCAGTGGGGCCTACCTGCTGTCCCTGCAGACCGAGTACGAGTGCGATTTCACTGCCATCCCCGTCTACATCATGATTGTCTTGGGCTTTGTGGCTATTCTCACCGGGGTCTTCTGGACCATCTGCCACAGCATTAAGAGCAAGATGTACTACAGAGGAGGACGTGAGCGACGCGTCCAAGTCTTCACTGTCGAGAGGTAAAACAACCTGGGAGCGCTTTGAAAAATGTTTCTGTGAAAAGTAGAATTTGTGCTCAACAATTTCAGTCAGTTGTAGAAACACTGTTTTGGCAAAATCTGGAACATTTAAGCAGTTTGGTTTGATTACTTCTTGCAGGACAGTTAGTATATTAAGTCAGAAGATTGTGTATTTTGTGTGAGAAACATCATCATCATCCACCTGGTTCAGCTCTCATTTGTCTGTTTATAAATGTGCTGTGTCACTGTGACACTAAGTTAAACTTTAACTATTACCACTCATGCATTTTATGTCGTTTTTCCTCAGCAGACCGAGCTGCTTTCCTCCGTCGTATGAAGAGTCAGAGGGAAACCTGGTCTCTCCCCCAGTCACCCCGTCTGAGATTGCGGTCAGAGTGGACGGCGTGGACGTGGTGCTGAGTCTGGCTCCTCCGCTGTACAGCCAGGATGGATCCGAGCCTCCAGACTGTACGTGGAGCTGGGAGCAGCCTCCCAGATACAGCGTGGTGGAAGGTGTTCAGCGGGAGGCCTCGTCCGGACACTGAGGGAGGAACAGTATCTGACTTCCAGACTGAGCAGAAACTTCCAGAACAAACTGGAAATGACTCGTGTGGTTGGATTGTTCTCCTGCAAGACGCTGGACCGCAGAGACGCGCTGGCATCGTCTCTGAAACAAGCCGGTTTTCAAAGTGAGGGTCTGGACAGAGGTATGGCCGCTGATGGTTTTGACTCTGGCTTATGAAAGCCAAAAAACCAGCTGCACTTTAGAGTTGCTTTTGACTGTTGTTGGTGGTGACAGAGAGAACTTTTTTTTTTTGCACTGCAGCTCCAACATGAGCACTATTAAAATCAAGCACTTCTTTATGTTTACAAGTTTTACGCACAAGAATGTATATAAGTGACTAATGGCACCCGTGTTGTAATGTGATGGAGTAAAAATATCATGTTTCTTAAACTGCAGTGTGTCATCATGTTATTTGTGTTATAGTTGTGTCGACATACAGCTGAGCTTGCTTTGGATCATAAATATGATGAGTTTTTAACACTTGTAAAGTCATTTTAGAATAATTTAGGATTTAGTTTTTTACAAGTAAATGTTTCTATCAGGCAGCCTGGTGTCATTTTAAAGTAGGTTGAACAACACATAGAATTTTAGACAACTAAGCTGACTGTTTGTGGGCTGTTTCTACTTTAAAATAAGCTGCATGTGTATAAATAATACTCTAATAATATTGTATTATAGTACAAAATGGAGCAAAAGAATTAAAGTACATAAATGCTGTGAGAGCAACAGTGACTAACTTAAGCAATATCCAACCTTACTGCTGTTTACTAGAAATATGCATAAATGTCTTAGAACCTCAGACCACCATAGATCAGGTTTTTCATCATTTATCTTTTAAATTATTTAAGCTCTTTTTAATTTAATTGTCATTACATTTGAAAAGCTCTTTCTCAAGACAACAGCACAAACAGGTTGCTAAACAAAACGAGACAAAAGGTGAAGCAATACTAAAAGAGATAATTGTAAAATGAGGCTAAATGCAAACTTGACTAATTCATCTTAAGACGTAAATTCAAGAATGAACGATTAAAACAAAACTAAACTGTTTCATCAAGTCTTGTGGTTTTTGTCAACATTACAGACAGAAGGCAGATGGAACCGTACGCCTTGTGACCTGATTGCAAAATTAACTTTATGAAAAATAAAAATCTGGTGCATGGGCAAAGATGGTGACAATAAACCAAATAAAACTGCAGCATATCAGCGCACCGTGGTCCAGCCAATAACGCTGAGGCACAGAAGTCTCCTCACACTGTGCTGAATTTGCACATGTTCACTACGTGTGACATGGCGAGGCGTCCTAACGAACAGCTTTAATAGATGATGAATACTCAGCGAAGCACACCTGACAGCAGCACAGCTCGCCACAATAAAAACACAGGTGGAGCCGTAAACGCAACGCTGCAGCTTATCCATTTTGGTGGCCCTTATAAATAAAGGGTGGAGGGTGGTTGTTTGGACTCTTTTAATCACAAAGCACTTCGGCAACAACTCGCATTCATCCAATCATGCTCTTAGCTATCCGACACGAGTCTCTGCGACGTAAACAATCTCAGCTAAACCCTAAATCGTCTCCTCAGCCACGTATTCAAAAGGTGACAAAACGCCGTTGGTTCTCATCCAACCTCAGGAACAACCGTTGACATTATAAAACAGTCGGATGGGGCAATAACCTGTAAAGGCTGACAGGTAATGTCTGGCTGACTGAGTGAACACATCCTTGCGGATATCCACTGGCATATCCTCAACTCATAATGACGGCAATCAGTGTGTTTATGAGTTCCTGCTCTCTGTGTCTCATTCAGGCCGTATAAAGATCAACCCCTCTTCGTTTCTTATCTCAACACAACAGCCTCAACGCATTTCATACTCAGGTGCTGCGCTCGACAAACAAAAAAGCCTCCTGTTCCTCAAGGATGTTCAATCACGGCATGATATATGGTATCAGCGCAACGTGGTGCTCTTAATTATGAAGAATTTGTCTAATTAAAATCCCCCCAAAAATGCCTAAGGGCAACATATCCCACTCTGATGCATTTTTATTTGTTCCCCATTAGACCTGTCCGATTCGATTAAAAAAAAGGCAAGCGCTATACACACAAAAAAAATGTTTATTTGGAGTTTTAAAAAAAAAGAAAAAAAGAAGGAGAAATAATATATTCAAACATGGTTACACATCATTCCCAACTGACAAATTAAAAGACAAAAAGCCCCAAAAGTAAAATCATTTTTAGAATATATTTCTCTTCTTAATTCCTCGCCTTGCCAGGGCAGCTCGGTTATTTTTACATTTTGAATGCTGCGTCCTTTAAAAAAACGTTTGACTGCTTCCCATTTTCTTCACAGGCCAACATGTGCTCCTTTTTAAATCATATTTTTCAATATGTTACATTAATTCTGACGCAACGCGTGCTTTTAATTTGACAAAATGATCGCTTCTGCGTGAAATGGAAGAGACGTTAATGTGACATATATATGAGAGGACAGTTAATGTGAAAAGTCAGAACAGCATGGTGACGCCGCTCTGAAGCTCCCTCGCTCAGGCTGCACACATTCATAGTCTGTTTACATGTTTTTTGCATTAATTAAATAGCCTCCCTGGTTTAGGCGCTGAATACAACAGAAGATAGTGGTCAGTAAACAACAGAGAGAATCAAATTGCTTTTGAGAGACAAACTCGAGCATCTTTTAGAGGAAAAAAAATGAAGCTACAGAGACTGGATTTTAAAAAATGGCAGAGAAGTAGAGGAAAAACTGTTATTTTTCTCTTTACGTGAGCAGGTAGATGCATGTTTGTGAGTGCGTAGTATTGCGTGTTCTCCCCGTTTGCTCATGTGATGACGTTGGGGCCGCGGCGTCCCGTCCTCTCGTGGATGCCGGAGATCTTCAGGGCGATGGCGATGAGAGGACCCAGCACCACCTGACAGACAGACAGAAGGATGATGATGATGATGATGATGAACTTTAATCAGTTTTTAATTGTGTTCTAAAACATTAAAGCTACTCTGGATTTTGTGTGCAGTAAGGAAATCAAGCATTGTGTGTTTATTGATCAGTTTTTTTCTCAGCTTAAACGCTTCCCCAAAAGAAAACTCAAGTTGCTGGAAAGCAATAAATCACTCTCAGTCCACACTGAAAATATTCTATCATAGGGTTTCATTGGAGAGACACTGGCAGCCCTATCGATCGGAACATTTCACACTAAATTACTGGTGCTGATGAGTATTTCTTCAAGCTGGTCTCTCTCTTTTTTTTTTTCTTTTCTTTTTGGCTGTGCGAGGCAGCACGTAACAGATACAGACATCATGTGCTTTTTGAGGCCTCAAAAACACAACGGAGATAAACCGATAGTTAAACAGATACCAGAGCAGATGACCTAGTTGGGATTATGTCATCTTTAGACCTTTTAAAATGCAGTTTCAACATGCAGGGTCAAGAGGATTTTACTGAGGCTTTGGCCTAGTTTGTGGACTGGTTAGAGATCATTCAAAAACGTATACGAAAGGAATGTAGAGTGAAACAAGGAGAGCAGCTGTGACATGTGGTTGAAACTAGATTAAAATAAAAAAATAAAGACTAATAACAAGAATGAACAGTTAATGACTGTATTTGCTTCAGTGCCCGTGTACCAAACATTGCTTAAGAATTATATGATGACATGACTCAGGCGTTTTGTGTTGTTGTTGATGTTTTTTTTCATTGTACAGGGCTGCGTGATAAAAAAATAAATAAAAATATGACACACCTGCACACTATATAGCATACTCTTCGCACTTAAATGTAAAATCATGTGAGAAAATGTGGATTTTAATGACGTAGGCGACACAAGCAGCCTCTGTGTTCGGCTGAGTGTGGTGTATATGAAAGTATATGGAGAGCTTCTAATCTAGCTGAGTAAGGATGATCAATCTAATCACGTATGGGCTCTCTGATAATTCCTACGTGTCGGGTAAGGGCCAGAATGATTGCATGCTGAATTTATGACGTGACGATAGAGAATTCAAGGGTTCAGAGGAGGTCACGTAGTGACAACAACAAAAATAACGTGACAGTGCTGTAAATATTGCAATGTTACTGAGTCAAACACAGCAGGTTAGCGAGGTGGGGTGATTATTTTGTATGCTTAGAAAACTAGGGTCCATACTTAATGAATGAATCCATGTTTCCTGGAGTTAAAAAATGTGGATCTAATGTTTAAATCTGTGATATCACTTCATAATGTAGAAGGTGAATCAATTCTTGCAATTACATTTTAATGATAGGTTATGGAAATGAGCAAACTTTAATGCTTAAGTTATTATTTTTCCATCTGTGCAAGATGAAGTGATCATTGTTCGTCTTTTAATGTGTGGATGAAAGAAAAAAAATGGCAAAAATGAGGCCGTTGCTCTGCAGAAAAATGCAACCTGTCTGACAATGCTGTTTGGTTACGAAGCCAAACCTAAATGAGCCATCGTGACTTTATTTTTACAACCTTTGGCATGTTTAAAGTGCAACACCTATCCATAACCACACAAGAAGCTTGTGTTCCTAACCACTCCAAAGTCTACAGGTCAATCGACAGTATCACCTGAAGTTGCACTAAACAGGCCTGAAGTGGCACATTAGCATTGCTGCTGCACCATCATGTTGTTGTTCAATCTGATACAAACCAGAGATCAAAACTTTATGTGCACAAAAGAAGTGATGATGAAAAGAACTAGTAAGAAGTTTTAAAGTAGACAAATGAGGAAAAAGGAAAGAGCAAAAAAAAAAAAAAAAAAGACCACTAAGCCAAAACAGCAGTGGTGCTTTGGATGTGTGTGGGAGTTTTCATTCATATATATTAGGAAAAGAAAAAACACATGAAGTGTTTCTCAACTCCCAACAGATGACAGGCACCTTCTGTATCCTGTATATCACACCAAATGTATATTTTATACCAAACAGCCCCATCATAAAGCATCACTATTGCTACTCTCTGATGTCAGACAATAAAAACCTTTTTTTTACGGTTGTAAAACTGGCTGAATGCCGCCTATAAAAAGTTTCATGGCGGGTGAGTGTACAAGTGGTAACCAAGTGATAACAACAAAGTGCAATCTGTAAGGCGAGCTGCAAAGGATGCAAACACACCGTCGCAACGCTCTTTCTGTACCTGCGTCTCTCTGCTGTGTCTCTCAGGGTCTCTCTCGAAGCTCTCGGCATAAATGCGAACGATGGCGCCCATCCCTCCGCCGCTGCCGCTCATCCGAAACACCAGGCGGGACGCGTCGTTGAAGACGATCCTTAAACCCTAGAAACAAACACAAAGTTTATGTGGGTATTTTAACGATGATATTAATGTTTTAGTTTCCTTCTAAATGTTAAATTATAGATGAAGTCGTATTACAAGTTAACATGACTGCACAGGAAGCTAAAGAATTAAGTTTATAATGTCATGGAGTAGAACTGGCAACCTGTCAAGGAGGTGTCCCGCAACCCTCTACAGCAGAGGTGGGCAATCCTGGTCCTTGGGGCCACAATCCTGCATGTTTTAGATGTTTCCCTCTTCCCACACACCTGATTCACATGATCAGCTTATCATCAAGCTCTGCAGAAGTCTGATAACGATCCTGATCATTTGAATCAGGTGTGTTGGAAGAGGGAAACATCTAAAACATGCAGGACTGTGGCCCTCGAGGACCAGGATTGGACACCCCTGCTCTACAGGAAGAAGCAGGTATAGGTTTGTAGTATCTGTTTAGGACCACATACATAGATAAATACAACTGCATAGCATGTGTGTGTGAGTGTGCTTGGTTGTTTGTTTCTAAGTATGGCCCTACCACCTTCGCTCTAAGCCAGCTGGGATTGACTTCAGCCTCCCCATGACCCTAATGAGGACTAAGTGGTGTATAGATAATGGATGGATGGATGGATGGATATCAGATATATGCAAATCTTTAAGCATCAGACTTGTATTCTTGTATCTAAAAGTTATTTCTTTAATGTGCAATGATGGTAAATATCCACTAGATGTCACTATCACTGTGTGTTTTGTTCAAACCAGAATCCCAGATTACATACAAACAGTCCATCATAATGTTGACTACAAAGTTGCACAACACCACAACTCCTGCAGCTCTTCGATGTTTCGCCAAAAAAAAAAGTTTAATGAACTCCAGCCCTAAATAAAACTTAAGGAGGACACTTGACTATTAGTTCGGTAGCTCGCAGCCAGTGCAAATCCACCGCTTCCTTAAGACCCTGACGGCAGAGAACAGCTTCGCTCCAAACCGAAGTAAACAATTGCGTTTTATCACATCACAACTGGCCTCTCCTCTTGACTCTTTAAACTTAACCTCAGGCGAAAACAGGATATTGTTGCATCGAGGTAACAAACTACATCTCCTGCTGGCTGACATAAAGCAGATAAGACTCTGACTAATGGATGTGTGATGACTCTTATCTGTCTTAAATTCCACACTGTCTCTCTTTCCTTATCCCATTAGAGTAAAAGCTGAGGGGGAAAAGACGGCAATATGTTTTGAGAAGAAAAAAAAGAAAAAAGAAAAATGAGCTTTAATAAAACCGTGCGGCATCACGTGATTACCCCAACTGATTGTCCAAAGCAGTATGAATGTACTACATGACATGATATGTATTTTAGATGTTAAGTATAGTACACAAGAGTTTTCTGGACAATTACAGGAGTGAAAGTCAAGTGGGTTCCCTGCCCCGGTACAACAGTAACCCAGTTTTAGACAAATAGCTGTTAACCTCATCAAATGATCGTTTTTGGACCGTAAAAAGAAAAGCGTCGGACTTTTCTCCTAATCTGACTCTGGCGAGGGAGGATAACATGTCAGAGTCTGTGTGAGGAGAGACAGCGATAATGAGAGATGTCCGTCCACCCGCCTGGCTGTCTGTCTGTCTTTCTATCTGGGAGTGTGTCAGCTCATCTCTAACAATAGAGCGGCGGTTATCAGAGGCCTGACTAATGCCTGTTAAAAACACCGTCGGCTGCAGAGCTCAGAGGACCCTGAGTGGAGCACAAAGCAGCCAGAGATGATGTGTGTGTCTGTCTTTAGCAATAGAAATCCAACTATCCTTTGATTTATCTAAAGGTGTTTAGTGATTTTGGAGGTCTGTGTGTGCCTGAACCTCCGTAAACGACATCCACACTAACTCTTTTTGCCTGTCAAAAACATAACATATATATATTTATTCATGCCTTCAGGCGTTTGCATGTTCTCCCCGTGCAGCGTGGGTTCTCTCCGGGTTCTCCGGCTTCCTCCCACACAGTCCAAAAACATGTTGAGGTTAATTGGTGACTCTAAATTGTTCGTAGGTGTGAATGTGAGTGTGCTTGGTTGTCTGTCTCTAAGTGTAGCCCTGTGACACCCTGAGTCAGCTGGGATAGGCTCCAGCCCCCCATGACCCTAGTGAGGATTAATCTGTGTATAGATAATGGATGGATGGATGCTTTCAGGCTTTAGGATTTGGTATAAGAATGATAGAACAGCATGAGAGTGTGCAGAGTATTGTTCAAAACTACTTTAAATAGAAACTGAAAAACACAATTGTTGGCATAGGTGCTGCATTCTTCCCAATCATCTAAAAACAGAGCGCCGTATCTGTTTTTAGCTCACAAACCCATGCGTGCATCCACTATCTGATATGCAGACAATGCGGAATGAATTCAGTAGTCGACTACAAAAGGCCGCCATGCCACCGCTGTGTAAATCCCTCCAGCTTTGACTTGTGCGCTTGTGTTGGAGTGTGTTGCACCAACTTCTCTCCCCTCCCTCCCTCCCCTTCAAACACACTTGCGTTGGAGCGACTGCAAGTGGGACGACAGCTGATATAATTCTGTCCTGAGTGGAATGCGTGCTGCAATAACATTCACCGCAGGGGGGGGTGGGCAACCGGGATGGCGAGGATTTACCAGTATTTTGGGGAGACTGACAAACCGGCAGAGGACCTGCTGTATCCGTGGCAACACGGTGAAGCGTTCACAGCGGGACGGCGTGAGATGTCGTCCCTTCGTTAAGGTGTACAGGGTGAAGCTGAGGGACGGTGTCACAAGTGTGAACATGCATAGGTCGTGAAAGGGGTAAGCATGTGTTCACGCTTACGGACAACTGGACGGACGTACACGCCGACATGTACAGTATGTGTGTGTGGTATTAGGTGGGGCAACCGCTAAGAAGCGTCGACGCCAGGGAATGAGTTTCCATGTGCGCGGGACAGAGGAGTCAGCTGGGTAAACTTCAGAGAGTACGAGGGGGAGGGAAGGAAGGGGACGGGGAGGTTACACTGACCCACTGTGTTATACGCGGTGATACGTGCTGCATGCAATGTGCGTCCATGCATATGTTTATGGTTTGAAATGGAAGATAGACTGTCATGTCCAAACATGGAACCTCTCTGATCAGACAACACTGGAGCGCAGTGGGTGGTCTGGCCCATGAGCACACGAGTGCGAGATGTTTGATGTGAAGCAGCTTTTGGGTCACACTTTCTGGTTCAGCTCCGTGTGATGTTGGGTTTGGCCTACATTACTAGAGGTCTGGTTTCTGAGCAAAAAAAAAGTAATTGATCAATTAGCTGTGGGGTCAAGCTGTGCTTCAGATGACCAGGTTTAGGTCAAACACAAACTTTAGACCAGTAGAAAGTGTGTGGTGCAGAAGTCACTACTCTTGATCTCATCATTGAAGCTGCTATGAGTTTAAAACATTTTTTGCAAATATTTCATATTCACACAACCGTCACAGCACCCTGAATCATCACACAGATCATTCGTATCATGATTCTCTTTCCTTTCGTTGGACATCATGAGAAACAAGAGCCATTAAACCATGAAAACTACCAGAACAATGTCAATCAGTGCCACCTACTGTCATAGTTTCATTTCATTTCCTTTGAGTCATTCGTAACCAACAGAATTTCTGCAGCCAGTAATGAAATAGACTAGTAACACCTGAGGACAGTATGTCAATATATAAGTATTCTTTTTAAAACATCTGATACAGGATTTAACCCTCTGAATCCCAAAACAGTTTCTGGGTGTTTTCTGTTAAAGTGACAATTTTACTCGTTCCAGGTTCATTTTCTACGGCAATATAAAGTCCTGCACCTCAACGGAAACAGTACAACCAAAGCTAGAAGTAGGAAGAGCTCAGAAAAGGCTTTTGTACAGTACGAGACAGTTACAATGCCATAAGTCATAAAAAATACAGATAAAAATGACAGGTGAATTTCTTTGATTTTATACCAATACTGCAAAAAAAAAGAGATGACTTTTAACACTACAGATATTTTAGTAGTTACAGTTTTAATTTGTTTCCATATTTATCTCCTTATTGCATTGTGTAAAGACTGCCTGCAGTTCAGTCCAGTTCAGCTCAGAAGTCTCAGAATTTTTGTCACGTGACTGATGGCTACAACTGAGTCAATAAGGGGTTTGTCGGGTGTTGAGGAGGGCAGATTTTTATGATTTTTTTTTTCTTACAGAATCTGCTAACAATTTAGGTCGAACAATGTTTTAATTGAGACATGGAATAAAGTGAATTTGCTGAAATATCCCGATTTTGAGCTGAGATTTGGTTAAATTTGATGCCTGAACAGCGCATCACGGGTGAGGACATTATGATGGACCGTTGGAATGTTGAAAATCTGGCAATTCTTATTGTTTTTAAAGTTTCTTGCTAAATGGTGTAATTGTATCCATCCATCCATTATCTATACACCACTTAATCCTCACTAGGGTCGCGGGGTGCTGGAGTCTATCCCAGCTGACTCAGGGCGAAGGCAGGGGACACCTGGACAGGTCACCAGTCTATCAC